GGACAGACGGAGGGACACACGGACGAACACTGCGGTGCTAAATGACAAATTTGATCAAGAGTAGAGTCATAGGGTTATTTTAAAACGCCGAGGATCCTTAAAAAACCCCACAAAAACGCCACTGATTCCACTCTATTCAAGGCGTTGAAATTTGAAAACGTCGACTTTGCAATTTTTAGATAGGGGGGTAAGCGCGCAAATGACCTCTACGGCCAGGCGTTATCTCTTATGCCAGGTATCGCATAGTCAAATGCCTTATTAAACCCGTTCATTTCGCGGCGCGCGCTATTTGCGATTGTAGTGTTTCGTTCTTGCTTCTCCCGATCGAGATAAACGAAGGATCGGATAGGGTGAGTTTTTTGATTTTGTAATTGGGGTGTTAATGTTTCATAAATTAAATCAAATGTCAGTAAAGTTAACAAACGAAAAAGAACCACATCAATCCTCATTCGGCAAACGGATCATTCAAATGAATTTGATTTTTGAATCTAACGTGTTGGTCAACATAGTATACGTATATTGTACTAGAAATCGTGTAATGAAACCCAAAAAAGTAATTTCTGATCAAATTACATTAAAAACCATTCGAAAGTGTAAGAAACTCTATACTTTCTTCGTATTTTGGAACTAAATTTCAAATCAAACTGCGTATACGCACCGCCACATGTTGCAAGATTAGGAATTAGTCATCCCACCTGTGCGTGTGCCGAACGATTTAATTTGTTTCTAGGAAATGTTTTTATTTTAAATGGTCATAATGATAGTAGGATGATTTAGAGAACATCAGTTGGCAAAAATATTTCACATCTCTTTAAAGAGACGATCCGACTCTACTTCCAACCATAATTTTTAATGGCGTTGTAGATAAAATTCAAAATTGAAGTTGATTTTTGATTCAAGCAATTTTTAAGTTTCAATCAATTTTTTGCGGGGGGCGTTTGGACACTAATCATTAATCAATAAATACATAATTGTTTCGTTTTTTCGCCTTTCTTTAGGACGAAAATCCTTCTATTTTACATCTGCCTAAACGATAAAAGTCGCGAATTACTTGGTCTACAGGTCCTGCAGGGGTGGAAGGCCCACTTTGGTGGTTTACGCCCACAAAAATGTAATTTCGTTTACAGTCTCTATAATAAAACGGTTTTTAAACTGACCTACCTATTTTTTAAGCGATTTTTAAAAGTGACAGTGTTGTGTTACTTGATTCTTCTGTCTGACCGGCCCTCCGGCCTCCGCGTGAGCGACGCGATTTCAGCACAGGAAAGAAAGATCGCTTATGTCTCACATTATACAGGGTGTATGTAAAAAAAATTGGGTGGTAGAGGGCATCAAAACAAGCACTTTTTCCAAATAAACAGAGGGTTCAACGATCATCAAATTTCGCTGTTTCAAAAGGGGAGCCCCTCATAAATTATTTCTTGAGATACTGTTATTGAAAGTAAAACCTGCGCCAGCCAACTGGTCTCAGAGTTTGCATACGCATGCCTTTAGTGGTGCCAAGTCAAATTGTTATAAACGGGGGAGGAGATGCTGAGGGTGAACACACGTTCTACCCTTCCTGGTATTCTAATAAAAGGTCTCACCGAAATGAGTTGTTTTTCACAAACTATAACTTCCCTGCGCAACTTCTTTTCGAGATCAGTAGGTAGACGGAGAGAGGGGAGGGGGGAAGGAGGTAGAATTTCTGTTATCTTTCATGGTATTTTAATTAAAGGTCCTATTTCCTGCCAATTACCGCTCTTCTGACTCTTTATCTAAAGAAGGGTTTAGAGGGGGGAGGGGGGTGTGGAAATGGTTTTAACCTTCATGGTACTCTAATGAAAGGTCTCAACGAAATGAATTACTTTCTGCCAACCATCGTCCTCCTCCTCGACTCCTTATCGTGATCGGGTGTAAATTAATTCCTTATACTTATCTCAAACAGATTGTCGGAAGGGGTAACCATATATAGGCAAGTGGGACGTCAGGTCGAGACATATCTGCTGAACTTTAAGTGCAAATATCCGCAAAACCGAGTGTCGTGCCACCAGTCTTTGTAACCCTTATGGTTGTTGAAAAAAATTAAAGAGGGGGGCTCACAAACGAAACAAGTTGGGCCCTCGGTTTATTTGGAAAAAGGGCTTGTTTTGATTCCCTCTGCTACCCAATTATTTTTACATACACATGTGTAATACACGGTATATGTATAGGTCTCTCATTCATGCATCGATATGTAAACTTCCTTGTAATGATATGATGCAAAAGCCGGATTAATTTTGCTGAAATATGGGTTACTCAATAAGACCGTTTCCACTCATTTTTAGGGCCATTTTTTAAGAATTAAAAAAATGTGCTATTGTTTGCGTTTTGTCCGTCCGTCCGCCCGGGGACCTACTTCTAGTTCTACCGTTTTGAACTAGTTCTAGGGGAATGGTCTTAGAGTCCTGGAATTGTTTGCAGTAGGTATCCTATACTTTGAAGGTGTGCCAGATGGCCATCAAATTTCTCTGTCTAAAAGGGCCCCCCCTCCCCACGAATTATTTCCTGAGATGCTATTTTTGAAAGTAAAACGTGCATAACTTTTACATACGACAACCAATTGGTCTCAGATTTTGCTAAAACTTTAGAAAATAGTGGAGCGGGGGGGGGGCACATGTTCTACCCGTCATGGTATTCTCATGAAAGGTCTCATCGAAATAAATTGGTTTGTACAAACTATAGCTCTCCCGTGCGACTCTATTTTGAGATCAGTGATCGACAGGGCCTGAGGGGGAGGAGGAGGGGTTAAACATTAATTTGATCTCTCATTGTATTCTAATTAAAGGTCTCAACGAAAGGAACCGTTTTCTAACAACTACTGCCCTTCTTTCTGTCCCCTTATCAAAGTACGGGGTGGAGGGAGAGGGGGGGAGTAAAACTAGTTTTATCCTTCATGGTACTCCAATGAAAGGTCTCAACGAAAGGAATTAATTTCTACCAACCATAGCCCTCCTCTATGCAAAATCTGGAATAGTTTGTAGATACCCTAAACCTAAATCGAACGGTTTTTGAATTACAGATCTATTTGTAATTCTTTCTATTCTTCGAAATTTTGGAAAAGTGTATTCCTTCACAAAGTAAGTTCCCTTTATAAATTAAACGAGTTATTTTCAGTATTTGCTTAAATAAGCACCTTGCCTAATATATAGTCTATTTTAAATTAAGTCGGCACTATTGCCAGCTTTCTTATTTATAGTTAGAAAGGGTTAAATTACCACAATTGTGTATTTTCTACTGAATCCAAATCTGTAATAAAAAAAACAAACGATCGCATTTTTCAGATAATAACAAAAAAGTAACTTTTATATGGAACACTCTGTATATTGTTACATTATATCACAGCTTATTAAATTCTCTACAAAAGTTCTTAATGTAACCATAGCCAAAATACTTCAAATAACCAAGACTTTTCAATTATTTTCATTTCGATGTAGCTTAATTTGAATCAAGCTGTATGTAAAAACTTAATCCAACTACCCTTTTTTCTATCCACAAATAGATTCTACATTAAAAAATAGGGGTAGTCTGTGATGCGTAGCTGTTTAAGATTTTTAATTATTAGCTGGCTGTGATTTAGCAGGATCATCCTTAGACCATACAGAATTATCATGAAATAAATGCTCGTTTGTCTTTGTCATAAAACATAAAAAATCAAAAAAGCACATTTTTCGTGAATTGAGCAGTACCTCCCTAAAGGTGATGTAACGATCTATTTACGCGTAAAAAGGAAAAATACCTGGAAAAATAGTTCTGGCATAAATATTCTTATAAATAAAAAAACTGTCGCGTGAGCACACCTGAAGTTTAAAATATGCGATATGTTTGACTTCACTAGACGAATCTTTGGTTAAAATTTCAAAAAAAAAATCTTATAAATGAGATCTTTTTTGATCAAAGCAAGTCTACTGCCGCATACACAACTTGATTTTTTAGCGCATTTTCCAACTCGTGTTTGAAGGCGCTATTATGGCCACTTTTTCCGTCCGTCCGTCCGTCCGCTCGAGGCCTTAACTACTTCTACAGTTTTCAATATATTTAGTTCTTCGTTTTACATTCGGTAGTTTCTAGCTTTGGCATCTGAACCAAAAAACATCTTGACTATTAGCCTGGTAATGGGGATTGTGTTATATAGGACAGTACACACCCAATATACTCTTTTTCTTTTTTCTGAAGTCGATGACGCCGCCGATACAGAAGCCACATCCTAATAACGCCTTTCCACTTGGGATTCATTCTGTTTTCTGCTGAAAAGACTATGGAGTACTGACAGGATTCAACCGGATCGGAAAAAAACCGTCCAGGTGTGAAGAGTTGTAAACCGTTGCCCGCACAGACTGCGCAATACCGTATTTCCTATTTATAGATATTTTTTGTAATTTTAGCCAAAGACTCTTCTACTAAAGGCAAACATACCGCATATCTTATACATCAGGTGTGCGCATGCGGAGACTGCGCAATGCTAAGTTTCTTATCTATAAGAATATTTATACCTTAACTTATTTTCCTTTGTACACATAAATAGTCCGGTTGTGAGAGAATGGAGATCCTTGCGAATTAATGGGTCATTTGACCTTTGGTCCCATTCAAAAGTGGGGGTTCCAATGTCCAGCACAGGGTTAAGCATTACTTTTGCATAAAATTGGGGTTCCCCGATTTTTGATTTTTGCCCAAACATTTATTTTTCCGAGTTTTAGGGGAGTATACATTTTTGTTGGGACACCATGTAGGTATTTGTTTGTAAATTTGAATAAATAAAACATAACTTCCTACCTTTGCGAGATCTAGTTAACGCTTGTGATTTAGTATACGTACCTCCCAGTTACTGCTTCATAAGCAAGGCGATTTTATATGAGCAACGCGGATTTTGTCATTGGACATTTAGTCCATATAAATACAGAGCTATTACACTATGGTTGTAGTACATAAAAATAACAAATTCCTCTCAATGTTGCATTTGAAGATAATATTTCACTTTTCAGATATTGGAAATGTGTGACGTGTGAGTGTGCCGCGTGTGGTTGTGCCGCGTTTCGTTCTGCAGTGGATGATGGTTTTCCCTAGGCGGGACCGAATTAATAAGGCTAAAGGGTAAGTTTCTTTTTTAAATTAATCACGGCATGCTGCTCTTCTCTTACTTCGGCTACAGTACAAAATTATCTTTCATTTCATTAAAAGCGTAGAGCCTAATTTTGAAGTACCATTTTCGAGCTATTTAGTCTGCATTCACGATGGCGATTTTTAGTCCCGCGACTAGCAGCGTGTGCGCGCGAAATAGTTAAAAATTAAATTAAATAAAGAAAGACATATTATATGTATTATAATGAAGTATATCTGCGATTCAGCTCCGCGACCAAAAATCGCCAGTGTGAAAGCAGATTAGACTTGGCGTTCTCAATTTCGCCCTTTTCATCCTTAATTCACTCTTCTCTGATGACATCTGACATTTACCGTAAGTTATTTTCATTACCCTTAAACACATACTGTAAGTATATTTTCCCGTTTTTTAAACCAAATTTTCTCTTTGTTACAGATTTCAGAAGGGCAGCCTTATAAAGGTAGGATTTTTTCTTTTTGCATGCGGGTGTAGGGTTTATTGCATTTTTTATTTTCTGTATATAGCAGTGAGGGGGGGAAGTGAATAGTGCATCGTAACAATAAGGTAAGGTAAGGTATTAATATTGGCTGACCTTCGTATGTTACTACTAAGTGAGTTGTGGTGGTCTTCTAATCCATCTCAGTGACGTAAGAGTGGCTCCAACGAATCTTCGTGAAGTGCAGAACCAATCAATTTACTTCATAAGAATCAGTATTCTTAGCCATACCAGTTCTGTTAAGTAAACGGATTGTTTCTGCAAATCAGACTATGTAGAAGTGACGCAGCCATTTCTTTCGTTTCGAAGTTGAGGGGTTTCGAAGATTTCCATACCTCGCTTAGTATCACTTGAAGATCAGCTTAACGATTTTTTTATAATAAAAAAAGGTAAGTGCGACTGAATCACCATAAGCGCGTTCGTCTACTACTGAGTTGGTTTTCATACTTTTTTAATAAACGAACGCGCTGAAAATTGATTCTAACAAGTATACTGGGCCTAACGGTCCTACTTATTGATCTTTTCCATTGTTCACAGTGCGGGCCCTGCATCCACTGTCAAAACGATCAACCCGCGGCCCGGTTTCAGAATGACATGGATATCGCTCAAACGAGCGAGGTAAGTACGACACTGTTTTTAACATCTATTTTTCTGATGTACAATATTCCACTTTAGTATTGGGGAATGGAGAAAGATGTTCACCACCCGTTGTGAGGTTCTTGACAGGCGAGATCGAATTAATAAAGCTAAGGGTAAGTTCTCACCTTGTAATTTGTTCACATCTACAGTAAACGTCCCACGACTAAACAAAAATTGCGCATTTGTTTATAAATTTTGAAATTTGATTGTAAACTCATTTGAGGTAGATTTTTTAAATTCAGCAGTTTTGATTTTTAGATGCGCCACATAACTTTGTCCAATTTAAAATCGTATTCTTTGTTCCAGATTCCAGAAGGCCAGCCTTATTAAGGTAGGATTTTCTTTTTTCTATGCATGGGCATTTTCTTTTTTATGTATTTAGGAGTGCAGTGGGGGAAAGTGAATAGTGCATATAGTGAATAATAGTAAAATCAACGTCGAATTTAACTTATAGAGTGGGCTGTGATCATCCCCTCAAGCTATCATACTCGTGATGTAGATTAACTTTCGTTCCCAAGCAGAATTTTTATCTGATTTATTTACCCACGAAAAACTGAAAAATTCTAAACCTTCTTAAATGATATGAAGTATTCATAACCTAATTCTGAAATTAGCGCATTTCTAACATTTAGAACCGACTTTACTTTCTACGCATTATTATTACTTTGTTAAAATGCGCACAGTGATCGTATCGAAAACGCGGTGGTGGTAATGAAAATCCATCACAATTTGTACTAGATGGCACATAGCATCCTCCAAGCCATACATTCGTGTTGAGTTTTTAGTTTGTAGATAACATTTGCGGAGTAGAGTTCTTGCCAGAGATACTGGAAGAAATGTCTAAAACCTACTCGAAAATCACTTTTCTTCATACTAAATGTACAGCCACGACTTCATGGTTGGACCTATTTGGTATGAAGTGCAGATTTTTGATGGGGAAAGGTCTCCTCTGGCAAGAGCTTTTCTCAAAGATTTTATCTGCAATCCAATCTAAATACATTGTATTTTTACTGCGGTCTTTAAAGTTACAGTATTAGTCTAGTGTCCGAGCTGACTTACTTAGGCGAATGTTATAAACCTCAGCCTTGAAAAGGTAACTGAGTCTTCGGGGGTTCAGTGGGACCACTTGAGCCACTCGAGGAAGGCCAACGTCCACCCCCATTATTATGCATATACTGAAAGTCTCATTTAGATATTCTTTTCTGCGAGGATTGTCAGCTTTTCTTAATTATACCTACTCTAACAACTCCATATATACAGGGTGTTTTTTAAGATGGGCCATACGACAATGTAAAGGCGTTGAGTTATTTAAAATGGGTCATAGGGAAACTTACATTGCGCTAATTCTTCTCAAATCTTGGCCTTGCGCTTAGTTATTTCACAATTAATGCAATGTAAATTTCCCTATGGCCCATTTTAAATAACTCAACGCCTTTGCATTGTCATCTTAAAAAAACATCGTGTATAAATGTAACAATTTAATCATCTTATAATTGAAGTTTTATCCATATTTATGAACCGTATAAAGTACCACTTTAACCACTAGTGGAATATTGAAATTATTTTATTCCACTAGCGGAATAAGGAAAAATCTTGAATCAATCACATTTTACTTATTTATTATTCATATTAACATTAACATTAATAATTATTAATTAATTAATATCGTTGAAATCTCAAAATATTAATCCCTCTTCATCTTCTTCGGCAAGAGAGCTTTGGGCGAATGTAAAAACAATTTAAATATTCCTACTGGAACGGCTGGAAAACTAATAAATTCACTACTTAACTTAACAAATGAGTTAATTCCGAAACTACAATTCTTAGTAACGAAGTGGCCAGCTTAAAACGCTTCTAGATACCAAGTGTTCAGCAACGCTGCTCGACTTCACAAATATACGGTGTGGTCATAACTTCGGGTATGAACTTTAGGGCTGCTTCGTTACACTACAGGTCTCCATAGTGTTGATAGAAAATCATTTTTGTGCATCAACATTTTTTTAATTCGTTAATTAAGTAATAAGTATGTTCGAAGAAGACTCTATAAGCCTCATGTACAGGGTGTCCCATTTGCGACACCGTTATAGGGTACTTTCGTAGTTGTTAATGATATCAAAAAAGTAATATAGGCGTCAATGTAAAAATATTCGCTCGCTTATCGTCAATTTCAAAATTCCAAAAGTTGGAAATTGTAAATTTCAACAGGATGTTGTATCCACGCACAACCCCCAATCGTTGTCCGATATTTTTTGATTGATTAATTTTGTTTAAAGGGTATTCTGTAACCCCAATCACATAAAATTCAACCCCTCTAATTATTAATTAATTTTACCTTTTAAAACCCTGTCTTTGCTTTGCAAGTACCAGGGGGTGTTAATTACTTTTAGGTGCTTCAAAAAATTTTATTTGTTTAAATAAGTGCGATTAATGCGGACTCTTAAAAAATGTCTTCGGGAGTTCAGTGGGACCACTTGAGCCACCTGAGGATGGCCAACGCCCCCCTCCCATTATTTTACATATATTGAAAGTCTCACTTCGAAATTCCCTTCTGCGGCGGTACCACCTTTGTTTTGTGTGTGATTTTATTTAAACAAATTCCAGAAATACTTTCTAATTGCCTGTTTTTGAGCTCGACAAGACAGCGTTTAGAGATTTTCAATACGTTCAACGTTTCGTTTCGGAGAAATCATCATCAACTTTATTTTTTATATGGCCCGTAAAAAAAGTACATACTGTAATGAGTAGCATTTTTCACTTATAATTGCACAAGAGGTTTGTATTTTACCGAGTAAATTTGGGTTGTTTAGGTAATGAAAATCTGTTGCCTAGAGAAAAACTGTCAACTAATAAAAATGCGACACCGAACGTGGGGCATTTTTAGGTTGACAGTTTTTCGAGTTCAATTGCTAAAAGGAAACAGATTTGAGTTGCAACAACTCAAATTTACTCGGTTTAAATACAAACCTCGAGTGTAATTCGGCAGGACAATTTAACGAACAAGAAATTCACCAAACTAATCAATTATTGACAGACGTCAAACTAGTCATATGGGAAAGGATAATGCGATAATTGGTTCGAAAATGAATAGTGAAAAAACCACTAGTGCATTTGTCGCTGGAGAAGATGCAGGTAACTTTTGCCGCTGTCAAAGTGACAATTGCACTGCGGCTTATGCGATTTTTTATACATGAGTTGAATTGTCATTACAAATACAACGATATACGGCCCCCAAAAAAAAAACGTTGGAAAGTGTTGGTTTCAACAGGATGGTGCACCGGCGCATAGCATCCTAATCGTGCACCTATCGGGCAAATTTCTTGGGCGATGTGCGCAGGTGCACCATCCTGTTGAAACCAACAGTTTGCAACTTTTGTTTTTTTATGCCGTACATCGTTCGTATCAAGCAATGCTATTCAATACAATATGCGTACTTTTTTTACGAGCCATATAAAAAAATGAAGTTGAAGCTCATATCTCCGAAACGAAACGTTGTATTGAAAATCTTTCAACGCTGTCTTGTAGGGCTTCAAAACTGGGAATGAGAAAGTGTTTCTTATTTTTTGAGTCTTCCAAGAGTGAGGCTGCTGTTCAACCTGATCGGCAGCAGCATTAAAACCGAAGCTCTCCCCATCAACAAGAGAGTTTTTGTTCAATATTTTTGAAAAGAGAATTTAATATGGTATTTTTTTAGATTTAGATATTCCATTTAAAAAAATGATGTTTGGTCTAATCACGTTTTTACCTGACCCCGTACGCATATTTTGAAAACCGCAGATTACTCAACAATCATTTTCAAGAAACTGTTGTAATACACATTTTTCTGTCTCTCTTTTAACTAAAAAATATAGCGTGATTCTAAAATTGAAATTTTTTTGATTATCCCCCTTATTAAAAAAAACATGCCGTTTGTAGATAAAAAAAAATGGAATTTTTGTTTAGCATTTTCAAAGATTTGTTATTAATAATGCAGGCTGATTCAAATTCGAGGGCCACCATGGGAATCTCGGAATACTGTAAGAGATAGGTATGTAGTTTTTAATTTGGCAAAGTTGCATATTTTGATGCTTAACAAAATGCTACTATATTGTATATATTTGGTCCGTCAGAAAGTAGGGTCTGGGGGCCCTGGGATCTTACTTTATTACGAAAACCGGGAAACCGTGGTTTCAAATAATTGTCGCATCTACCTGTGGGGACTGTAGGCACAGATTTAGCACTATGTCACTTTTATTGTTCAAACATCTACAAAAATACCTCAAAGGTCACACATTTTCCTCAGATGATGCTAAAAAGCGCAAACTGATGATTTTTTTATGGATCGAAACAGCTCTAGAAACACTGGACTAAATGTATTAGTAAAGGTGATAGCATTACGTTGGGGAATAAATTTGTTTAAGTTTTGTAGGGTTTTCTTCATGGGTCGAAAATTTAAAAAATGAATGGATCAGTATTTTTCGAAAGATCATATAACGGAGTGGCAACGGTGAGAGATACAGTGTAGGTTAAATGGGGGTAAACTTGCCCCATTTTGTAACTAAAAAAACGGTTTTGAAGTTTTAAAAAAAATTTTGAAAATAACCGAGATATCACCGAAAAACGTCAAATTTTGCGTTAATTTTCCTTAGCTTAAACGGTATGAAATGGACGGTTCCCGTTAGGGCGTTAGCACCTTCTATAAGCACTTTTTTTTCGGAGGATCTGAATCTGTTATTAGAATTTCCATAGCACGCTAGATGTAGAAGGTATAGGTTTCTTATTTGTTATGGATTTTTACGTGGTTAAAAGGTTTCTCTAATAGGAAAGTTGACATTGCGCAGTCTGCGCTAGCACACATTAATCGTTAAGATTTTCCTTGGTTGAGGTGCCAGCGCTATAAGCTACCGAATACAAAAAATTAAACTAAACATCTTGAAAACTGTGGGATAGTTAAGGACGGAAAAAGTGGCCATAATAGCACTTTCGACCATGAATGCGCTAAAAAGACGTTATCATACAATTAGAAAAGCGATGAGAGGCAAATAATCAACCAAATGATGCGATTTGTGTGTATTTATTTATTCAAACGTAGCTTAATACAACAATCTGTTGTAAAGTCCGTTGTAGTAGTTTCCGTAGTATCCGTACCCATAGCCATAAGGAGCGTAACCGTGGTATCCAGAGTACGCATAGGGATAAGCGTTGTATCCACCGTAGAAGAATTGCGGCTTGGCTTCCGGTTCCGGTTCAGGATCTGCCATGACCACGGCGAAAAGGGCGAGAACGACAATTAGCTGCAAAACAATTATTGAATTAAAATAATGGCATCATTTACTTACAAGCTTGAACATGTTGATCGGTTTAGATGATTGCTTGCTTGCGACAAACTACGAATTCTGCCCTCGCGTGGTCAGTT